TTCCTGCACAGATATATTTATATAGCAAATACACTCATCACTATGTTTAAATGTAATACTAGGGAATTAAATTATATTGCACAATTAGCATAATTTTCCATGTCATAAGCTCAGAAATGTATCTGTAACACTTTCTTATAGGTGTCATAAGATTGGCCTACCGTGGCTATTTCAGCCTTTTTGCAAGTGTTCCCACCATTACCATACCAGCTAACTTAAAGTTATTTACTATCACAATATTCCAGGAATGGAATTTGACATTCCAAAGGCACTGATACATCATTATTAAAAACTCATTGTTAGGCACGTTTCTCCTAACACCTACGCTATTATACGTCCATCAAATGTTGGTGTTGACCCTCATATGGTTCACGATACATCTACATAGTTTCACATATTTGCATGTATCACCTTCGGTCACATATAAGTTTGTAAGTTATCTTTTGTAAGTTACGTTTGTAAGTTATCTTCTTCAAATCTCAGGTTCCTATTCTAGAATCTTATCCATTTAACAGACCATTAACAGTTAATTTCCATACATAATTAAACTTTCACACTAGTTCACTCACGGGTAGTCAACATATTGGCAATATATGGATTAAACATATTTTGTTTTGTCATATCATACTTATAGTTTTAATTTCCTTTTCTACAGATCTATAGGACAAGGAGTCCTGAGTTTAAAGAATATTGTATAAACCACCTTTTGGTAGGCAAATTATAGTTAGTAGCTACACTATCCATTACTTGAGTACTACCTTCAGTAATTCTGGCATTTATTTTATAGCTATATATACTGTTCAGTCAACCATTTCAGCTACATACTAATTAGGACAAGGTACGTGATTTACCCACTTACATTAATCATTACAAGAGTCAAGCCCCCGTTCAGAAATAGTAAACTGGCTCTAGGGTTTTAGATGCTAGCCTTCACCGGTGTATTATATACAGGGAAATCCTAGCCTCACCACGAAGGCTTGTCTACACGTTCCTACAACTTAGTTATTACCTCAAGTACCCTTCTTTAGGGTATTAATCAGATTCACCTATCACGTCCAAACGTTTGATTCTTTTATAAATCACTGAGAAGCCAACATCCTCCCACAACGTTTTTGGTGGCCATGCTCCCTCAGGCCAAATCATAGCTAGAGCCTCTCTCTGCCACTTGGCAACTAGCAGGGCCTCATCTATGCCCGGGTTAGTCTAATCTTTCACCTAACTGCACTAATTAGCCAGCCAGTTCTAGATCGGGTTAACTTGCATAATCATTGATTATTTTTTTTTTTATGTCTAGCATGTCGCAAGCATCTGAACATGAAGATGACCTGTGAAGGACCCTCCATCAATCGATGCTCCTAGTGCTCATCAGCACCACACCAGACACCATAAGCACTGCAGACCCCCACGAACCGCCGAAGCTTGGTTGGGGTCTCGCCGTCTCCTACCCACCCCGGACCTACGACAAGGCTCCAGGCTTCAGTGGGGGAACCTCTCTTCCTTCAGAGAGCATAGCAGGCACAGTTCTTACAAGAGCTAAGGGAGTATGATGATCATACTATACTATAACCCTTCTAGTGATATAGCAGTTCCCTACAACACGAGACAAGGCTGCAAGTTGATGGTAAGAAGGACTGATAGTTTAATGGTACAGGTTGGATTTTTATACAGTTTTTCAGGCCAGAGGCACACCCACTGCACCTGATGGAGGACAGGGACACAAGGGACATAAACCAATGAAAACAGTAATTAACAGTACGACACTCCCACATACAGTAAACAATCCCTCCCCTTTGTCTGTGACATAATTAAGACAGATAATGCATTAACTTAATTATCCACAGGCAGAAAAAACACACATTTTTATAAAGTCCCATAAGTACCCCAAAACATAACATATCCCCATAAATCTTATATCCCCTGATAGCCCTGATCTGGGTGAAAAACATAACCGAATCAGGGGTTCAGAAAATTTATGGAAGCCATATTTTTGCCCTGGCATAGGCATGGTCCCATGCCCAAAATAGTTCCATAGAATCGCAGCTAAGTGCCGCTGGAGGACCGACCGGGAACCGCAAGGTTTTCATGACGAAAATAGTTCCAGGGAATACGCGCCTAAGTCCCCATGAAATCTATTCACGTTTTAGCCCATGCAAACAAGATGGCCGCCACCACGTGTTCGAATGTCGAATGGCGACCACTTCGACAGTTTGGGAGTTTGAAGAACCAATGTTTAAAGTCCCAATAGGCACAATTAAGGTCTCTCAGCCAAAATAAATTAAAGGCTGACAAGTAGTCCTCTCCAAAGCCCAGTGGCTTTCGTCACATGGCCTATCTCTCTCAGAAACCCCAGCTAGGCCCAACACCCCCACCCGTCCAATTTCCCCTACGGAATCAATTATGCCGGCTTCCCCAGGGTCGTTAAGATCCTGGACTATCCCTAAACTGGCTGAAGAATTACGGCGTTGAAGTATCCCCTTTCCTGCTACTGCTAGAAAGGCTGAGCTCTACAGACTGTTAAACACGCAATCCACTGAACCAAGGCCCAGCACGAGCGCACAAGGCGCATCTTTGGACTATTTGGGAGAAGTGCAGGGCAGGATGTCTATACTTATTGCCTCCCTGCAAACCATTAGTGAACGGCTGACAGTGTTGGAAACAGCTCACCTACATAGCAACCCCATAAATATCCCGGCTACCAATCCAGACCCATTGGTGGCTACTCCGCAGGGTACTGCAAACCCTTACTTAACACTTCCTTCAAACCCCTTGCTTAACACTTCCTTATCACACTGGCACATTTGATTCCCCCTCCATTAGGAAAGAAATCCTTGATGGTAACTTGGTTTCACTACTTATTGCTTCACAGGATGTGTGACTTATAGAGAATAGAACATACAGCTATGGGGATTTGTCTGTGGTCCTTAAAGCTAGGGACCCGAGACTAAATAAGAAGCTGTCAATCCCTGATTTTGTACTTGCTTTTGGGCTTTACAGGGACGTCATCTGTTCCGTATACCCCCAGAGGCGAGAAGAACTAGACCTATACTTACGCAAGTTGGTAGATCTGGGGCATAAGTATGGGAGCTTTACGTTCTACGTTTACCACAAGTCGGTATCAGTCAAAGCAGCAGCAGCTCTCTCACAATTTAACATACAAACCAACTGGAGTGAGTTGGACACAGAACTGTTCTGCAGGCATTTTGCCAGCTTAAGGCCCCCAGCTTGTGCGGTTTGTGCATCCACTTCACATTCCACCAGCTTGTGCCCCTGTGAAGCCAATCCATCCACGACCACAGCCCCCACACGCACTCATGTTAACACCTCCGTGGGTCAAGACCGGGTTCAGACCCTGTGGGCAGGTGGCTACAGCTATAACTGTGAGCTTGGTTATACTTGGGAAACACTGCCGTAATACTGTAAAGTACTGTAAATCTAATCTGTGCCTTTATTAACAAATGGCTAAATGTAAGTGTAAGTGTGCCTTAGACTTATTGCACATGGGAGGAGACTATTTCTTCTCTAGACTCACTACCCAAAGACTTTTTTTTGCCCATTTGATGGATTCTCTGGACATGCAGTGACCACTTATACCCATTGTTCCCCTGTTGGATTTCCCTGTACTTCTGTTTGCTTGAGAAGATGCATTTTATTTGGATATTATATATGGCTGCAAAGTCCAGTGGCAGATTGGGTTTTGTAAGCACAAGAGGGCAGAAAGGCAAATTCATGTTTTGCATTTAGGCTTTCTCTAATTTGAGAGTGGAGAGAGAAACACATTTGTTTGTCTGCTACAGACAGCATCTGGATTAAATGTTGTATATGAAGATGAATGTATTAGCTCATATGAATGAACCAAAACAGTGAATGTTTTCCCAAGAGTCAGATTCCTGCTGGAGTGCTGATACATGTGAGGGTGCAGATAATGCAATCTTTTAAAAAAAAAAAAAAAAGGCTAGATGCATGGCCGCCGCAAGGATTCTTGCCGCCCTAGGCAACAATCCCTTTTGCCACCCCCTCATAAAACCTCTCAAAGGTTTATTCACTAAACTCTAAATTGCTGTGAAGAGACATTTAGGGAAAGAGACACACAGAGTAGTCATTAACCCCTTAAGGACCAAACTTCTGGAATAAAAGGGAATCATGACATGTCACACATGTCATATGTCCTTAAGGGGTTAAAAGGAAAATAAAGTGACAGGAAAACAAACTTGGCCCCACAGTGCAGACGCACAGTGAGAAATTTAGAGAACGGAAACAGCTTGGGGAGATATATAGGGAAAGGATAATGAGACTGTTGAGATATATAGTAAACGAGACTGCGAGACATTTAGGAGAGAGACATAGTAAGCACACATTTAGGGAAAAAAGAGACACACTTTCATTAACACTCACTTGCATACAGTGTCACTTACACAGTCTCACTTACACACACAGTCTCACTTGCACACTCTTACTAACACACACACACAGTGTCCCTTGCACACTCTCACTAACACACACAGTGTCGTTTACATACTCTCACTAACACACAGTTGCACTTGCACACTCTCACTAACACACAGTGTGACTTGCACACTCACTATAACACATATTGTCACTTGCACATTCTCACTAACACACAGTGACACACTCTAACACACACAGTGTTACTTACACACTCTCACTAACACAGTGTCACTTTCACACTCTCACTAACATACACACACTGTCACTTGCACACTCTAACACACACACTGTCACTTACACACACACACACCAATTTACAACCATTCATACACTAAACAATGCCCCTTAGCCGACCTGGGTGCTGTGAGGAGGAGAAGAGGTCCAGACTGCAGGAAGTTGCTCTTCTTTCCGGTGGGGGAGCAGGAAAGCAGTGCACTCTGAGCACAGGCTGCTTCTTGCTCCCCTCAGAGAGTTTCCTGTGTTCACAGGCAGAGGGCAGCCGAGATAACAGGTGTTCTGGCTCGGTTTGTTTAAAACTACACTTTCTTTTGCAAGGTTAATGACCCTGGGACAGTGCATCCAGACCACTTCAATGAACTGAAGTGGTCTGGGTGCCTAGTGTCCCTTTAAGTGAAAGCAGACGCACAGTGAGAAATTTAGAGAACGGAAACAGCCTGGGGAGACATATAGAGAAAGGATAGAGAGACTGTTGAGATATTTAGGAAAATGAGACTGAGAGACATTTAGGAGAGAGACATAGTAAGCACACATTCAGGGAATAAAGAGACACTCTCATTAACATACACACTCATTTGCATACAGTGTCCCTTGCACACTCTCACTAACACGCACAGTGTCATTTACACACTCTCACTAACACACAGTTGCACTTGCACACTCTCACTAACACACAGTGTCACTTGCACACTCACTATAACACATATTGTCTCACTAACACACACAGTGACACACACTCTAACACACACAGTGTTACTTACACACTCTCACTAACACACATATTGTTACTTACATACTCTCACTAACACACACACACACTGTCACTTACACTCTGTCACATACAACGGTGTCACTGACACGCACAGGGCAGTGCACTCTCAGCACAGGCTGCTTCTTGCTCCACTCAGAGGGTTTCTGGTGTTCACAGGCAGGGGGCAGCCAAGATACCAGGTGATGTTTCCGGCTCCCCCTTGCCTGCAGGAAACAGTGTGCTCTACTCGGGTGCTGGGGTTACAATAAACCCCGCTCCCTGAGCAGGTAATCGGAGGCTGAGGGAGACAAGCAGGTGAATGGGTGCGCTGAGGGGTGCCTAAGGAGGCGCTCACCCAGTGTTCCAGCCCGAGACAGCAGCAGGGCAGCCCACCAGGAAACTTCCCAGTGGGCGCCCCCTAGAGGCCTGCACCCCAGACGAATGCCTTATTCGCCTTATGGTAGCACCAGCCCTGGCTAGATGTCTTTTTGAAGGGGAGAACTGAAAAAAAAATTGAAATTCCCAACTGTGCCCCATGCAGTTCGTAGTGAATTAGAGGAAACTACCACAAATTGTCTACATACGTTTAAACACAAGTAATAGATAAGCAGCTGCTGGTGACTTGACAAAAGATTACATATATGATTAATATGCAATACCTTTTTTTATAAAACAAGCTAAATATGTTAAAAAAGCTACATAAAACACATATTTTGAATAAAATTATTGAGATTTAGTCACTTTATGTAGCTATATATGTTTAACTTGCAGCTAAATAAAAGCTCAAAGAATTTTGAAGTCCTTCGATTGTTGTACCTCAGATATTTTAAGGTATTCATTTGCTATATAGCTTACCTCACTTTGGACCTTCCTACATAAAAAAGAAAGAAAGAAAATAACTTCCTGGGTTTATATGGCATTTTATATGAATAATTTGTTTAATGTAAGGACCTATTATGCTATTATGGGAAGCTGTGCTAAAAGAATAGGCAACAAATGAAGTGGTTATAGTGACTGTAGTAAGTGACTAAATTATGCTTGGTGTATTTTGTATGGCATATAATGATTAATTTGTATATTTGTAGGAATAGATAGATAAGACACAGAGAGAGAGTGTGTGTGTGTGTGTGTGTGTGTGTGACCACTTAATTGAACTGGGTTCCTTTAACATATTTTAAGCATAAGCATTACATTATAAACATATTTTAAGTACACACACACACTCTTTCATTTATTTATATATTTGGGAGTCCAGGCCAACTCCTTGGTTTTGTGGTTTTGCACCCCTCCCTGTCACAGGTGCCTCATTCCAGAATCCTATTTAGCCTTGACCTGCAGAGTCCCAGGAGGAAATATTTCCCAAGTAAGTGGATTGATCTCATAAGAGCAGACATTAGGCTGCTAGAGTATGATCTGCCAAGAATGGGGTAGATTGACGTTGTGGCAGGCTTATACATTATATAATCATATAATGTAACTAAACCCTCATTATTTTTTGCCTAGATGAGGTGTTTTTAAATAAAACTTTTACAATCTGTGAGATTTTAAATCATTGTTTAGTGAATAAGTGTGTGTGCTGGCTTGTATATTTTTTATGAGATATATATATATATATATATATATATATATATATATAATCTCCAGCTGCTGCTGAAACACCATATTAGTAAAACATGTGAAAGCATTTTCTCTTTGAGCAGATAACTTGAGCTATTATATGTAAAAGTAAGAAGTAGACAATAGTGCAGCAAAACAAATGGCTCAACCTTACTCGTTTTGTCCAATGCAATAAGGTGACTTTATTTTTTGTTAAAAACCACGTTAGGTAGATATTCCCCTTTAAAGCTGATTATAAGGGTAGACTGTATTGAAGCCATTAAATGAGATATAATTTGATATTGTTTCATCTCTTGTTAATAGTAGCAGCCTTTGTTAATTGTAGAAACAGCATTGTCATTTGCAAGTGGCAAAGGTTGCTAGTGATTGTACTTCCTTGATGCACTCCTAATATAGAACTAGGACACGTGTTAACGATAAACGAAACTACCTAACTAGAAAATCTTTGATTCCAATGGATCTTTCTTAAGAATTCAATTATTAGCACGTTTATTTATTTAAACCATAACACCTCATACACAGTGTCTCAAATATTGATACACTCTATGCCTGAATGTAATGAGGAAGTAACAGTAATTTCAGCAATCTGTTTTAATCAATCCTTTAACTCTTTCAGAAAGCTGCATTTCACAACAGTGATACATTTCATAAACACTTTATAAACATGGGAAGTTAAAAAAACAAAAGAAACTTACCTTTTAATAGAAAGTAATTTGTTTTACAATAAAGTATACATTTTCCAAATTCTTCATATGAAGTCAAAGTTTGTTGAGCTTCTTTTTCATCTTTTTAAAGCAGTAACTCCTCCTTGAAATTTGTCCATTTATATAACTATAAGAATATAGAATCTACAAAGAGTGAACTGTATAAAATGGTATACAGTGACAACTGAATAAAATAGTTTTTTTTTAAAAGTCAGTCAATTAAACGATAGGAGGGGCAACAAAAAGGGAAATGAAAAAGCTTACAGGAAACCAAAAAAAAAAAAAAAAGCTGTGACAAGAGGTACTAGCTTTTGCATACTTCTTACTTCTCTAAGATAGCAAATTCTGTGGGTTTAATCACTGAGCATATCTTAAGAAATTTCAGACACATGTATGTAATATACAGCCCTGGATTAAGAGCCCATTGGGCCTGCCCTGGTGCTGAGAATTATGATATGCCTAATTACAGAATCTTTTGACAGAAAACACTAAAACAGTTATACCTCCAAAGCGTCATGTATCTATTTGAGTTGGTGCTGGAGGGAAACTCACAGGAAATAGCTGTCAGAAAACACATACCCTATGCTAATCTCTCGCTTTCATCTTTTTAAGTAAATGCATAACCCCAAACAGCAGTGTTTGGTGAAGCAGGACTTTGGTTGGGGGGGTAAAAGGGTGGGCCACTGATGTGAACCGACCAAAGGGATACACATGCCCAAAAAGGGGGCGTGTCTGCATGAAGAATTAGATGGTCAGCCTGGCTTGAATGCACGTCAGGCTGCCTGCTGTAGCAGATTTATTCCCTCTCCATTGGGCTGTCCATACCCCCCTTGTTCGTTTCCTGAAAAGAGGATGTGTGGCCCCCCCTTTTATACCCTTTGAACACCGACCACCCCTGGCTTGTTAACTTCAAAAGAGCAATTACAAGAGCTTTCCTTGGGTGGCCACCATTCATATAACGCGTACACACACACTCTAGTGAATGGTGGCAGACACTGGTACATGTTCGTCGAATGTGTGGAACTCTTTTCAGCTAGGAGATCCCACAAACCCCAGGGAAAACTGTACCGCTGCTGTTCGGGAGAAAGGAACTACCGACTGGGGGCAGCATTTTGGAGGTTTAAGCAATGAACTCTGCAAATCTTTATTGAAAACAGGCTTCTTTTATGCACTTCTTTTATGCACCGGGGGTCTCCATTCCATACAATACACTTCTCTTAGTCCTAGGCAGGAGGGGGCTGGGTTACAGATAGCCATCTCCTGTCCTGGGAGATACCAACACTATACAGGGACACACATGAAAACACATTTCATTCAGAGGGTATACTTTGGGGCCCAGTGTCCTGGGAAAGAAAGGGGTTACAGGGTTGATATCTACATTGCTAGAGAGCCCTGGGTCCCATCTGGGATCCCTGCAAAAAGCGGAGGGAGGAACAGAGCCCGAGATATCAGCATCGAAAGTCTGGGGCTAGAGGCTCTGTACATCCCCGAAATTAGTTCCATGGCGTTGCTTGGTTTAGTCCCGCAAATTCAAACTTCGCGCCCAAACCAAGCAACAACCAATCAGCTGAAAGGGTGCGAACCAAATCGCGCCAATCAGTGCTCGGGGGAAGAAGGAGTTTCACTGCCCAATCCGCAGAAAGGGCGCAAAACTTTATTGCACAAACCAGCACCCAGGGACGAGAGAGTTTCGCCGCCCAAGCAGAAGAAAGTGCGTGAAACCCCATTTGAACGAGCGCACCTTCTCCGATTGGTCACCTGCACCCCACAGTGACCAATCAGTGCTCACTCGTGCCGACCAACCTGGTGGGCGTTTGGTGATAAGAACCGGATGCCACCCTGGGGAAGAATGCGGCGCTTGTTTCCCTTGCGGTCTGCAGTTTTCACACCTCGTTAGTGAGGTGTAAACATTCTAATTAAATGTTCTAAATGGAGTATCCGGGTGGTCCGGCACACGGGCTCCGTGTGCCGGAGCCCCCGGGTGGTTGCAAAGTAGAATACATTGTACAGTGTAAAAATACAAGGGAAACACACATTTTAAAAAAAGGGAAAATGAGAATATACATTGGGGACACAAAATACAAAACCAAAACATCTGAATATTCATTAGGCATGGCACTTAGTGGCTGTGTCTGTGTCCTGCCACACACAGGAACTCCCGAAAGTGGACTGGCTTTTGCCCCTTTTTTCCTCTAGAACTACTTTGGGCTACAACCTCATGGCCGGCCGGTCAAAACTTTTCCAGAATGGTGATTCTGTTCTATCGAAGGTATCTGAGTGCTATTTAGACAACTGGGGCGTTCAGATCTGGTCTATTCTGGGATATAAGATTTTATGGGGTGTAGCGGATGGCATTGGGCTGTCCTCAAGAATTTGTGTTAAAAATGTATTTCGTGTAATTATGGCCATGTGTAGCAGTATTGTATGTAGCTTTCGTCTAATTGTTAGGTAGTTGGGTGGTTTTCATTCCGTTTTCC